ATTGGGAGTGTGGGGGCGGGATCCATTGGGAATGTCAGGGCAGGATCCATTGGGAATGTCGGGGCAGGATCCATTGGGAATGTCGGTGCAGGATCCTGTGCAGAACATCAGGGAAAGAAAATTCAGGAGCCGCTGTGGCCGGGAGCAGCGGGAGCGCGGCAAATCCGGGGCTCCACCGAGTGACCTCCCGCTAAACCCGGGCGAATAATCGGGAAAAGAACCAAATCCCCTTTTGTAAGGGCTGGGAAAAGGCGGGATCAGCCGGGAGCAGACCGGATTTGTCTGTGCTGGCCGCGCCAGGAAACCCCCGCGCCAAGCCGCGGCCACCACACTGCGCCATTGTGCTGGCGTGATGTCACCGCGCGGTGACGTCATCGCCTGGCGATGTTGTCATCGCACGGTGCCATTGACTGCGCGGTGATGTCATCGCACACATTGTCCCCACTGTGATGTCATCACACAGTGACATCCTCACACAATGACATTGTCTCCACAGTGACATCATAAGACAGTGACGCTGTCATCACACGGTGCCATTGTCCCCACTGTGATGTCATCACACGGTGTCATTGTCCTCACTGTGACGTCATCACACAGTGCCACTGTCCCCACTGTGATGTCATCACACGGTGTCATTGTCCTCACTGTGATGTCATCACATGGTGCCATTGTCCCCACTGTGATGTCATCACACGGTGCCATTGTCCTCACTGTGATGTCATCACACGGTGTCATTGTCCTCACTGTGATGTTATCACACGGTGTCATTGTCCCCACTGTGATGTCATCACACGGTGCCATTGTCCCCACTGTGATGTCATCACACGGTGTCATTGTCCCCACTGTGATGTCATCACACGGTGCCATTGTCCCCACTGTGATGTCATCACACGGTGCCATTGTCCCCACAGTGACATCATCACACAGCGCCAATGTCATTGCACAGCGCCACAGTCCCAACAGTGATGTCACCACAGCGATGTCATCACATGGTGTCGTTGTCCCTACTGTGACATCATCACAATGATGTCATCACACAATGATGTCATCACAGTGATGTCATCACAGAAAGACATTCTTCCTCACCCATCACACGATGATCTTGTCCCTCACAGTGACGTCATCACCCAGTGATGTCGCCACACGTGGACATTGACGTCACATCACGATCCGATCCCTCACACAACGATGCCATCACCCAATGATGTCACCACACAATGATGTCACCACACAACGATGTCACCACACAATGATGTCACCACACAACGATGTCACCACACAATGATGTCACCACACAATGATGTCACCACACGTGGACATTGCTGTCACACCGCCACCTGATCCCTCACACAATGACGTCATCACCCAATGATGTCACCACACACGGACATTGCCATCACACCACGATGTGATCCCTCACACAACGATGTCACCGCACAATGTCATCACCCAACGATGTCACCACCCAACGATGTCACCACACAACGATGTCACAGCACAATGTCATCGCCCAACGATGTCACCCCACAATGATGTCACCACACAATGATGTCACCACATGTGGACATTGCCATCACACCGCGATGTGATCCCTCACAGTGACGTCATCACCCAACGATGTCACCACACAACAATGTCACCACACGTGGACATTGCCGTCACACCGCGATCCGATCCCTCACACAACGATGTCACCACACAATGATGTCACCACACAACGATGTCACCACCCAACGATGTCATCACACAACGATGTCATCACCCAACGATGTCACCACACAACAATGTCACCACACGTGGACATTGCCATCACACCACCACCTGATCCCTCACACAACGCTGTCACCACACAACGCTGTCACCACACAACGCTGTCACCACACAACTATGTCACCACACAACTATGTCACCACACGATGTCACCACACAATGATGTCACCACACGCGGACATTGCCGTCACACCGCCATCCGATCCCTCACACGACGACGTCATCACCCAGCAATGTCACCCGACGGTGACGTTGTCCCTCCCGTAACCCATCCCCTCACACGGCGCTCTCCGTGTCCCAAACACCTCCTTGGCCCCCGGTCACCCCTCACCCCTAAACCCCCCAGGCCACAGTTTTGGGGTCCTTCCCCACAACAAACTCGGGGGTGCCCCAAACCCCGCGTTCCTCCTTCCCCTCTCCCGAGGTTTCCCCCCCGGACCCCCGGCACTGACCCGTGTTGGAGGACACGGATTTGCCGATGTCGGCCAGGGAGCGGTGGATCGGTTTCTTGGTCTGGTGGCGGTGCTTGCGCAGGAGGACGTAGCTGAGCTTCTCCCGCAGCTCCGGCTTCAGCAGCCCGTCCTCGATCTGCTTCTCGATGACATCGTCTGCAACACGCGGCCGTGGGGACCTTGGGGTGACCTCCCAAAAACCCCAAAACCCCCAAAAACAACCCCCAAAACCCCCAAAAACCCCCCAAAACCCCCAAAATCTGCTCCTTGAGCAGCCCATCCTCGATCTGCTCCTCGATGAATCATCTGCAAGCCCCCAGCCACGGTGACCCAGGGGTGACCCCCAACACCTCCCCAAAATCTGCTCCTTCAGCAGCGACCCCCCCCAAAAACCTCAACCCAACCATTTCTGGAAGCAGCTGATGGCTCCCAACTCCTCCCTTTGCTCATTCCCGGAGAAATCCGGGATACGGAGCAAAACAAAATGAGTTTAAATCCATTTCCCAGCGTTTTGGGACACCGGGGAGGGGAAAATCCTCCGGGGGTTCCTACCGATGATTTGGGGCAAGGAGTATCCGTCCAGGTCCAGGAGCACCGTTCCCGTCTGGAGACACGTCCGCAGCTCGAAGAGGCTGTGCAGGGACAAGGTGGACACGTGGGGTTTGCTCCACCTCTCGCCGCCTTCCTCCACCTTCTCCTCGAACTTGATCCACCTGGAAGGAGAGCGGGATGGACCCGGAATGTGTGGGGGAATGGATTTTCCTGGGGATTGATCCAAAAGCTTGGATGAATCCGTCTCACGAAGTTCTCGCTCGTTGGGCAGGGTGGGGAGGGGGAATCTGGGGGTTTCAGGATTGTGGAGGGGAGGAAATCCGTGGATTTCCCCGTCCTCAGATTGGTCCTGTGGGATTTGGGAATTGTGGAGGGGAGGAAAACCTCCCAGTCCCAGCAGGAAACCCAACCCCGAGGGTTTCTCCCTCCTCGAATCGCTCCGGAGAGGTTTGGGGGGTTTGAGCATTCCCAGTGTCCCAATTCCTCAGGAATTCTCAGACTCCACCTCGGAATTCATGCCCTTCCTTGATTTTACAACTTCCAGAGAAACTTCCGGAATGGGGTGGGTGATTCCTCCCAAATCCCTGGGAACGGGGCTGGGACTCCAGCTCTTGGGGTTTTTTTTGGGGGGGAAAAAAATCTGCTTTCCTTCCACGGATTTTCTTTCCTGGAGTTTAACCTGACCCATCTGAGCGGGATCTGGGCTCCTGCTGCCCCAGCCGGGAACGCAGAGGAGGAGAAGGGATTTTGGGAACGGCTGATGGCCCCGGAATTCCGAGGGGGAAACATGGGGAAAGGCCAGGATGGGATCAGCCGCTGCAAAGACAAAACCTCAGCTGTCCCCACTAAAAAAAAAAAAAACTCCCAAAAATTTATCCGGGAGCGCCAGGAATGCTCCGACAAAACCCCAACGCACAACGCTTGGCCCTGGCGCCCATCCCACATTCCCGGATTCCTCCGGAGAATCCTTCCCTCCAACCCTCCAGTTTTCCCTGGGATGGAATTCAAGCTTCCCGCGGCGGCTCCCGCCAAGCGCCGCGCTCCCAGATCCGATTACGCCGCTTTCCCTCTCCTTTCTGCCCCGTTTTTCCCCAGGAATTTGGGTTATTCGGGAGCAAGGCACGATTCCAGGGCATCCCAGGGTTCTTTCGCCGAGGTTACGGCGGATTCCCACCTCCCTGCTGCTCCCAGCATCCCGAATTCCCATTTTTTATCCCCCCTGAGGATGAAGAGTCCCAGCCTGGCTGGAGAACGGAAACTGGGACTCGGAAAACCTCCGTGATCCTAGAAAAAAATTCCCATTTTTCCCCATTTAATGGATCCAGCCTGAGGATGAGGAGGCTCAACCCGGCCGGAGAGCGGGAATTGGGACTTGAAAAATCAGGAGAAATTTGGGAATCTCCACCTCCGGCCCTCCCTGATGAAAAGTGATTGAAAATCCCAATGCAAACGTGGATTTTTTTTGCCTTCCAAGCTTTTCCCAAAGAGTGGGAGAGCGGGAATAAACAGGGATTTATGGAAAATTAAACATTTTCCCAACAGAATCCAGACACCGCGGAGTCGGAGCGGGGATTGGAAGCGGGAGGATCCTGAGGAGCTTCCCAAATTTCGGCTGATGCAAAAAAACACAGCCCAAAATTTGGGATGGGAGAAGTTTCACTCTTGGCCGGGCCAGGAAAAGTGTGGAGGGGGGAAAAAATCCTGGGAAAATGTTCTTTATTCCCATTTTCTGGCTGGAATTCTCCAGTTTCCCGTTTTTTTTCACCCTCCCAGCCTTTCCTGCAGGGCTCTGGGGACTGGGAGGGGGAAAAGCTCCGGCTTTGGGATTGAGGAAATTCGGGATAAGCAGGGAAATCTTCCGGCTCATCCTCAGGATGCCCTAAAATCCCATTTTTCCCACATTTCCCTGATTCGGGAATGTCCCTTTTAAATGTCATTAAAATCAATGCTCATTCCCTGATATTCCATTTCCACTTCCCTCCAAAATCCCATTTTTCCCACATTTCCCTGATTCGGGAACGTCCTTTTTTAACCCCATTACAAACAATGCTCATTCCCTGATCCCGTTTCCCTTCGTTTTATTTTGGGATGGGATTTTTGGGATGGGATTTTTGGGATGGGATTTTTTTCTTCCCCCTGGCACATTCCCAGATCCCAATGCTCATTCCCTGATCCCGTTTCCACACGGGGATATTTTGGGATGGGATTTTTGGGATGGGATTTTTCCCCCCCGGCACATTCCCAGATCCCAATGCTCATTCCCTGATCCCTTTCCTCTTGGGGATATTTTGGGATGGGGATTTCTTTTCCCCTGACCCCATTCCCAGATCCCAATGTTCATTCCCTGATCCCATTTCTGCACGGGGATATTTTGGGATGGGATTTTTGGGATGGGGATTTCTTTTCCCCTGGCACATTCCCAGATCCCAATGCTCATTCCCTGATCCCTTTCCTCTTGGGGATATTTTGGGATGGGGATTTCTTTTCCCCTGACCCCATTCCCAGATCCCAATGCTCATTCCCTGATCCCATTTCTGCACAGGGATATTTTGGGATGGGATTTTTTCCCCCCTGGCGCATTCCCAGATCCCAATGTTCATTCCCAGATCTCAATGTTCATTCCCAGATCCCAATGCTCATTCCCTGATCCCGTTTCCCTTGGGGATATTTTGGGATGGGATTTTTGGGATGGGATTTTTTTTCCCCCCTGGCTCATTCCCGGATCCCAATGCTCACCTGGCAGATTCCTTCCACTCCATCTCGTCGCCGTCGTGCTGCAGGGTGTCCATCTCCGTGAAAAGCGTGGGATTGGGGGGCTCATCGTCCTCCCCCAGGATGTACCGGAGCCGTTCGGCGGCCGGGGACACTGCCAGGGGGAAAAGGAGCTTTAATTCCATGGAAAACGGGGTGATCCCGCTCCATTCCCGCGGGGAAAGGCCCCGGGGGCGGTTCGGGGTCACAAAAAAAAAAAGGGATAAAAATGGAGGAAAACGTTTAATGGGTTAACTCCAAACGATCCCATCCGGAATTCCCTGTGGGAAGAGATGAGGGATGCTGGGGAAAGGAGTGGGATGAAAGCCCAGGAACCGATTCCCATCAAACTTTGGGGTTGGATTCTTCCTTCCTCACCCTCATTTTGGGTTCCTGGGGCTGTGCCACCCCTGAAACCCCAAAATCCGAAGGAAATCCTGTGCAGGAAAAGCTTCTTTTATCTTCTTTTCATTATCCTCCCAGATTTTAGGGAATAAATCCCACTTCCAGCTCCCAACTTGTGCTTCCCTCCCTCCTCGGGGTGTTCAACCAACCCTGGCCAGGCAGCCAAAATTCCTGGGATTTGTTCACCTGGAGAACCCTTTCACGCCCGGGAGAGCACCCAGCTCTCCCTGCTCCGGGGTTTTTTTAATTCCTGGGAATTCGATCCAGCACGGAAAATCCCGGGAAGCAGCAAGTGTTTGTTGGGGAGGGGGAAAGCGACGGGGAAGAGGTGAAAAAAACCCCAAAATCAGCCCAAAATCAGCCCCTGCTCCTTGGAGGGGGATCCAGATCTCCCCGAGCCGGAATTCAGGATGGGAAAACTCTGGGATTTCAGCCATTCCCGGGGAATATCGGGGGTCACTTCCATGGGGAACGGGACAGGGATGATCAGAAATTATTTCGGAAATGAAATCCCCTCTATCCGAGGTGCCCCTTCCCATCCCAAACCCGACCCAGCAACAAAACCCGGGATCCTTTTCCAAACCCAAATTCCCGCTCTGGCTTTGGGGAGAGCGAAACAAAACGGGATAAAATTGGGGAATGGGGGAACGGGGGACTGAGCCTGGTTTAAGGTCCGGCATCATCCAGGGGCTCCCGTGGATTTTCCAGTTTTTCCCTGGATTTTCCTGCCTCAGACGAGTCCCCACCTCCCCAAAAACCGGGAGAGCGGGATGCAGATCCCGCGGGATTCAATGCTCCTTGCCCTGCTCAAGAAACCCCCGGGTTTGGGATAGAAACCCCCGGGTTTGGGATAGAAACCCCCGGGTTTGGGATAGAAACCCCCGGGTTTGGGATAGAAACCCCCAGGTTTGGGATATTTCTGAGCCTTTCAAAAATCGACTTTTCCCGCCCGGGAGCAGCGGGAGCCGGGAGCTGCCCCCGTTTATTTTTGGGATCGGCTTTGGATCTCGGTGCCTGGAGTTTATCTGGAATTCCCCAAATTGCTTTTCCCAGGGAAAAATAAGAAAAAAAAACCCAAACCCGTGGAGCTTTTCCTCCCCTCCCACCACGGGGGGAAAATAAAACCAACCCCAACCCCAACCCTACCTGGAGTTGTTTCCATTTCTTCCCCCATTTCTCCCCGGCTTAACCCCAAACCTTCTCCGCGCGATCCCAAAAAAACTCCAAAGCCCCGGAGTTCCTTTATCCTTTATCCACTGCGGCTCGCTAAACTCCGGCGGCTTTAGGGAAGCAGATTACCGGGAATAAAAAAAAAAAACCTTTCCTCTCCTCGGGCTCCCATGACGGGAAGTTACCAAATCGCTTGGGATGCACTTGGAAAAGCAGCGGGAAAAGCGGGAGAGGAGCGGGGGAAAAAAATTCCCAAGATTTGGGGTGGTTTCCCCTGCGGGGAATTTTTTTTCCCCGTACGCGGAGAAGCCGCTCCGAAATTAAAGTTTTGGTTTTTTAAAGTGGGGGGGGGGGTGGGAAAAAAAAAAGGGCTGGAATGAGGGAGATTTCCTGGGATTTTGGGGTGGGGTTTTGTCCTTTGGAAAGTGAATTTTTCTGTCCAAGCCCCTCAGAGCAGCTCGGGGTTATCTCCGAGTGGAATTTGGGAAGGAGGGAAAAGGAAGGAAAAGGAAGGAAAAGAGGGGAAAAGGAGGGGAAATGGGGGGGGGGGGGTGGGAAAAAAAAAAGGGCTGGAATGAGGGAGATTTCCTGGGATTTTGGGGTGGGGTTTTGTCCTTTGGAAAGTGAATTTTTCTGTCCAAGCCCCTCAGAGCAGCTCGGGGTTATCTCCGAGTGGAATTTGGGAAGGAGGGAAAAGGAAGGAAAAGGAAGGAAAAGAGGGGAAAAGGAGGGGAAATAGGGGAAAAAGAGGGAAAATTTGGGAAAATGAGGGGAAAGGAGGGAAAATTTGGGAAAAGGAGGGGAAAGGAGGGAAAATAGGGGAAAAGGAGGGAAAATTTGGGAAAAGGAAGGAAAATAGGGGAAAAGAAGGGGAAATAGGGGAAAAAAGGGAAAATGGGGAAAAGAAGGGGAAAGGAGGGGAAAAAGAGGGAAAATTTGGGAAAAGAAAGGAAAATTTGGGAAAAGAAGGGAAAATAGGGGAAAAGGAGGGGAAATAAGGGAAAAGGAGGGGAAATAGGGGAAAAAGAGGGAAAATAGGGTGAAAAGAGGGAAAATTTGGGAAAAGGAGGGGAAAGAAGGGGAAAGGAGGGGAAAAGGAGGGGAAAAGAGGAAAAAGGAGGGAAAATTTGGGAAAAGGAGGGGAAAGGAGGAGCCACCAGCGAATAAAAATCCTCTTCCCATGAAAAAAAACCTGGAAAACTTCAGGGTCCCGCTGGGCCTGAACCCGAATGCAAATTTCCAGTGGGAGGGGGCTGGAAAAAATCCCAGCCCATGGAAGGGCTCGGCAGCCGCTTTCCTGTGCGAAATGTTAATCTTCCCTAAGGAGATTTCCCTGGAGCGGCAAAACCCGTCGGGAACAAGGTGTGATTCCCGAAAGTTGTCTGGAACCCCAGTCCTGGCAGGAAAACCCTGTCCCAATCCCATTCCAACGGGATAAACCTGCTGGGAACACGGCGTGATGCCCGATGTTTGTCTGGAGTCGCAATTCCAGCCAGGAAAACTCATCCAAACCCGCCCCAATCCCATTCCAACGGGATAAACCTGATGGGAGCAAGGTGTGATGTCTGAAAGTTTTCTGGAATCGCAATTCCAGCCAGGAAAACTCATCCAAACCCGCCCCAATCCCATTCCAACGGGATAAACCTGCTGGGAACACAGGAATCGCAATTCCAGCCAGGAAAGCTCCTCCAAACCCTCCCCAATCCCATTCCAATGGGATAAACCCATCGGGAGCAAGGTGTGATGTCCAAAAGTTTTCTGGAATCGCAATTCCAGCCAGGAAAAATGGTTTTCCAAACCATTTCAATGGTTTCCAACCCATTTCAGTGGGAAAAATAAACCCGGGAATGAGCGGCAGAAGCGGCTCCCAACCGAGCTGCTCCAATCCCGCATCCGAGCTGATCCAACCGCCCGTCCCAGGGTGCTCGGAATCTCTCCCCGTTTTTTTTTGGGAACTCACTGGTCCTGCTGGCGTTGTCGTTGCCGCTCTCGGGCCAGCCCTGGCCGCCGTCGTCGGTGTCCGAGGGCTCGCGGTGGCCGAAGTGCCGCTCGCTCTCGCTCCGGTCCCGGCTGGAGCCCGGCGACCTCCGGCGGCGCCGCTTCCGGCGGTACCCGCGCGGCACCGGCACGCCGATGTAGATGGAGTGGTAATCTGGGGAAGGGGCACGGGGTCAGCTCCATAAAAAAATTCCCTTTCCAGGGAGAAAACGATGCGGATGGGGCGGTCGTTGGAATAAAAAGGTCGTTTTCCTGGGGGGAAAATTCCTGGTGGGAACGATCCGGATGAAGCGACAACTGGAATAAAAAATTCAATTTTCCAGGCGGAAAACTTCCAGGTAAATAAGGCAGGGAGGAGTTTTCCACCCGGATTTCACCTGGGAATTTTCAGCTTCCTCATCCTCAGATCTCCTCCAGGACATTCCCGGGATTTCACTCACCTTCCTCATCCTCGAATCTCCTCCAGGACATTCCCGGGATTTCACTCACCTTCCTCATCCTCAAATCTCCTCCAGGACATTCCTGGGAATTTTCACCTTCCTCATCCTCGAATCTCCTCCAGGACATTCCCGGGATTTCACTCACCTTCCTCATCCCTCAAATCTCCTCCGGGACATTCCCGGGATTTCACTCACCTTCCTCATCCTCGAATCTCCTCCGGGAGCCGCCGAGGCCGCGCTCGCTCATCCCATCCTCGTCCTCCAGCATGGTCCCGCTGCTCGGGGGGAGCTGGGGAAGGATCGGGAACGGGGCTTCAGTGGGATTTGGGATTTTATGGGGTTTGGGATTTTTATGGGATTTGGAAGGGGAAGAACCTCTCTGACGGGAGCTGCCTGAGATGGAATCCTTCTCCCGGGAATATCCCAGCGGGATTCCCGGTGGGAGCTTCCCTGGGATCATCCTGGCTCAGCCCTTTGCCACCCCTGCTCTCCCATCCCCACATTCCCAAAATTCCAGCCGGATTTCCCCAGGATTCCATCCCCCGGCCTCCAATTCCCGATGCTCAGAGGATCCCTGAAGCGTAGAACATTCCAGAGATTTCCCAGCACAATTCCCGACACGAATTTCCCGGAATTCCAGAGCCCCCCGTTACTCCGGGATAACCCCACTCATCCCAAAGGGATTTTCCAAATTTTCCTTTCCCAGTCTCTGATCCCGCATTTCCCTGGAACTTCCCGGAATTCCAGAGCCCTCTGGGATAACCCCACTCATCCCAAAATTTTCCAAATTTTCCTTTCCCCATCTCCGATCCCACGTTTCCTTTCCGCTTCCAGCCGTTTCCCTCTTTGATTCCCGTGGGATTTCTCCGGCCTTTTGCCAGGGGCGTTGATTATTAATTAATTAACGCCTCCCTAATTAGCCGACCTCCAGTGATTGCCTTTCACACTCGGCTGCCCGGGCGCGGCTGTTTCTATTCCCGGCCGCCGCTCGATGCCTCCCAAAGTCACTTGGAGGGCGATCCCGAGCGGCATTCCCGCATTTTCCATCTGTTTCGGGGGGGAAAAAATCCCAACTCCGGCCAAAATCCTGGGGAAGCTGCTGGGCCTGGCAGGGTGGGCTCTGCTGGCTGTGAATTCCCGACCCGTTTTCCTCGGGAAAATCCAGTTTATCCCAGCCCAGCTCCAGCCCCATCCTGCGCTTGAGATTTAAATTCCATTTCCAAGATTTGGGAATTTTTTTTCCCCCTCTCGATCCCAAGCTTTTGGCAGGAATTGATTCCATTCAGGGAAAATTTAGGGATTTCATTTCGGGGTTCTGCGGGGAAACTTGGGGAGTTTTAGGGATAACGCCATCCGCGAGCCTCGGCTTCCCAAAAAACATTCCGGGGTGAATCCCGAGCATTTCAGGGAAGCTGGAAAAGCAGAAAAAAAAAGCAGGAAAACATTCCCAGCCTCAGGCAGGAATATTTTGCCTCTAAAAATGACCTTTTAAAAGATGAGGGATCAGAACCCCCAGGAAATTCCAGCAGGTGGGGGCTCCCGGGTGACGGACTGGGATAGAAACCCTTCCAGCTGGGATAAAATCTGGGAAAAAAACGGGATTTTTTGGGAATCTGGATGAGCTGGGAAGCACAAAGAACCCCCCAGGGGTAAAGCCAGGCTTTGTTGGACGCGGATAAATGAAAGGTCCCGATCAATTCCGGGCTGGGAGAACCCGGGATATTTTTTTTCCCCCTTGGATATTTCCTAAATCCCTGAAAACCAACCCGGAGCAGAACCGCTGGAAAACCCAACTCCAACCCCATGGAAACCCGGGCAGGGAAAGCAGAGCGGCGCTCCCACAAAACTCCCGGAACGCTTTTTCCCCTTTCCCAAACTCACCTCGAACTCCCCCAAAAATATTGGGGAACGGGCGGCGGAGCCGGGATCAGGGAAAGCCGGGATCGCCGGGAGTCAGAGCTGCTCTTCCCAACATTCCGGCGGCTCCAGTGCCGGCGGCTCCGGCTCCCGATGGATTTTGGCGGCGCCGATCGACGTCCGGGAGCGCGGAGGATGACGGGGAGCGCCGGGAGGGAGGGAGGGAGGGAAGGCAGCCCTGGACAGGGATGGTTTTTCCATCTGGGACCAGCGGGATGTGGGAAATCCTGCGGGATTTGGGGTTTTCCTGGGGTTGGGGGTGGGGGAGGGTTTTTTTTTTCCACATGGATTTTGGGTTTTGAGGGGTTTGGGAGGGGAACTGCTCTGATTTCCAAGCTCTGTGTCTGGATCTTAGGGAATGACAGGAATTTCCAGCACTGGGATGATCCCAAATCCTCCTCAGTGGGATGATCCCAAATTCCCAATCCATGGGATGATCCCAAATTCCCAATCCATGGGATGATCCCAAATCCCCATCAGTGGGATGATCCCAAATCCTCAATCCATGGACTGATCCCAAATTCCCAACCCATGGGATGATCCCAAATCCCCAATCTGTGGGATGATCCCAAATTCCCAACCCATGGGATGATCCCAAATTCCCAATCCATGGGATGATCCCAAATTCCCAGCACTGCGATGATCCCAAATCCCCAATCCATGGGATGATCCCAAATTCCCAGCACTGCGATGATCCCAAATTCCCAATCCATGGGATGATCCCAAATCCTCCTCAGTGGGATGATCCCAAATCCTCAATCCATGGGATGATCCCAAATTCCCAACCCATGGGATGATCCCAAATTCCCAATCCATGCGATGATCCCAAATTCCCAACCCATGGAATGATCCCAAATCCCTCATCCATGGGATGATCCCAAATTCCCAGCCCTGGGATGATCCCAAATTCCCAACCCATGGGATGATCCCAAATTCCCAACCCATGGAATGATCCCAAATCCCTCATCCATGGGATGATCCCAAATTCCCAATCCATGGGATGATCCCAAATTCCCAACCCATGGAATGATCCCAAATTCCCAATCCATGGGATGATCCCAAATTCCCAGCACTGCGATGATCCCAAACCCTCTGGAGAGCCGGGATCAGCCCCCAGGAGATCCCCCCACCAAGCCTGGGCGGGTTTAGAGTCAGGATTGCCCCTGGAATTATTCCCAATTCCACATTTTCCTTTCCACATCCATGGATTCGGGGTCAGGAATCTCAACCGTGGCTCCGCTCCCGTTTCCGCCCGGATTCCTCCGCTCCCTCCAGCCTTTTATCGGGAATATCAATAAATCCCCATCCAGCTGTGCCCGGCCCTTCATTCCAGAAAAAAAAACCGGGATTTGGGAATGGGATTTGGAGCTTTGGACTCGTCCCAGGCCGGGGCCTTTCCCTCGGGAATGATCCCGATCCCAGTCCAGGTGGGATCCAAGATTTTTCCCGGTTCCCGTTTTCCTCCCGGCTCCTGCTGGATCCGATTTTCCCTTCCCTGTGGAGCTCCGTTTAGCGGGAATTTGGGAATACCCTCGGATATTTTGAGGAAAGGTTTTGGGGGTTTCCCGCTCCTCCTTCAATCCGCTTTTCCCATTTTCCAGGCATTTCATTCTCCGTGGGAATCGTTGGGCTGGAAGGAAAATCCATTTTTCCCAACAATCCCGGGATGAGAACCCGCTCCCAATCCCAGGAAATCCGAATCCAGGTTTTGTCCTGGAAACCAAGAGGAAAAAAAAAAATGGAATTTCGCTTTTTCCCTCCCAATCCAGGGGAATTTATTGGAATTTATCGCCTTGCACCCCTCGAGGTTTTACCAAATTCCCGGTTTTTGTTAAATTTCCCGGGGAGAGAGGGAATCCTGGGAATTGTTTGGGTTAAAGGGAAAGCTGGGAATGGTCGGGAGAGGGAGACAGAGCCCGGGAGTCGATTCCGGAGTCTGGGAATCCGAGGGATGCAGGCCCAGCTCCCGCTTCCCAAATACCCCAATCAATGAGGAATGCCAGAAAAAAACGGGATTTCTCGGGAAAAGCAAACTCCAGGTCCTTTTCCCTTCACTTTTCCCCCTTTTCCTTTTTCCTTCTACTTTTTTCCCCTTTTTTCCACATTTTTTCCTTTTTTTTCCCCTTTTTTCCCCACATTTTTTCCTTTTTCCTTCTACTTTTTTTCCCATTTTTTTCCCCATTTTTCCTTTTTCCTTCTACTTTTCCTCCCTCCTTTTTCCCCATTTTTTCCTTTCCCTTTTTTCCTTTTCCTTTCCCATTTTTTCCTTTTCTATTTCCCATTTTTTTCCCTTTTCCTTTCACTTTTTCCTTTTAATCTCATTTTTTTCCTTTCCCTTTTTTCCCCCCTTTTCATTCCCATTTTTTCATTTCCGCCTCCCAGGAAACCTTTGCCATTCCCAGATCATGGATGAGTCCCTGAGGTCCGGCACCACCGGGATTTTCTGGGATAAAACCCCACATTTTTTGGGATAAATCCCAAGAAATCCGGGAGGGAATTCCCACCCGGATCGAGAAATTTGGGATAAGAAACAAAACCTTGGGAAAGGCAATTCCTTACCTGCTCCTTCCAGGCCGGGATCCATCCGAGGGGATTTCCTCCATCCCGGGATTATCCCGAACAAACCCGTCCTGGCATTAAAAATTCCTGGGATCTCCTTTCACAATTTCCCAGGAAATCGGCGGGAAAACAACGCCCCCAACCTTGGAACACCCAGCGGAAATTCCATTTATTGGGAAAAAAACCCCAAATTCCCCCTTCTTCAGGAGATTCCCGGAGATTTTTACAGTTTTCCCAAAGAAATTTCGGGAGCTGAGAGGAAAACTCCCATTTTTTACAGTTTTCCCGAGGAAGGAAAAACCCCATTTTTTCCCAGTTTTCCAAAAAAAACCCTGCAGGACCTGAGAGGAAAAAATCCCTTTTTTTTCACAGTTTTTCCCAAAGAAACTTTGGGAGCCAAGAGGGAAAAATCCCATTTTTTCCCAAAGAAACTTTGGGAGCTGAGAGGAAAAAATCCCATTTTTTTCCCAAAGAAACTTTGGGAGCCAAGAGGGAAAAATCCCATTTTTTTCACAGTTTTTCCCAAAGAAACTTCGGGAGCCAAGAGGGAAAAAATCCCATTTTTTCCCCAAAGAAACTTTGGGAGCCAAGAGGGAAAAATCCCATTTTTTCCCAAAGAAACTTTGGGAGCCAAGAGGGAAAAATCCCATTTTTTCCCCAAATAAACTCTGGGAGCCAAGAGGGAAAAATCCCATTTTTTCATATTGAAACTTTGGGAGCCAAGAGCAAAAAATCCCATTTTTTTCCCAAAGAAACTTCGGGAGCCGAGAGGGAAAAATCCCATTTTTTTCTCATTTTTTCCCAAAGAAACTTTGGGAGCCGAGAGGGAAAAATCCCATTTCTTTTCCACGTTCCGCTCCGAGCTCCGAGTCCGTGTCCTCCTCACGCTTTGCTGGCCCAGGCGGCTCCTTCCTCCTCCTCCTCCTCCTCCTCCTCCTCCTCGGCATTCCCGGGATTTACCGGGATGTATCCGCCCTCCCTGGGCAGGCACCAGCACCAGCCGGCGCCGCGGAGATCCAGGGAGGCCAAGCGGAGATCCCGCGATTCCGGCAGCGGGAAATCCAGGGAATCCAGGCGGGAGCGGATCTCGTTGAGCTGCTGCCAGTGGAGCCAGGCCATGGCCAGGCCCAGCACCTGCGGGATTGGGATGGAGGGGTCGGGGAAAATGGGATCGGGGAAAATGGGATCGGGGAAATGGGAACAGGAAGATGGGATCAGGAAAATGGGAAAAGGGAAAATGGGATCAGGGAAAATGGGATCAGGGAAAATGGGAACAGGAAAATGGGATCAGGGAAAATGGGAAAAGGGAAATGGGAACAGGAAGATGGGATCAGGGAAAATGGGATCAGGAAAATGGGATCAGGGAAAATGGGATCAGGGAAAATGGGATCAGGGAAAATGGGATCAGGGAAATGGGATCAGGGAAATGGGAACAGGGAAAATGGGATCAGGGAAAATGGGAACAGGGAAATGGGAACAGGAAGATGGGATCAGGAAAATGGGATCAGGGAAAATGGGAACAGGGAAAATGGGATCAGGGAAAATGGGAACAGGGAAAATGGGATCAGGGACAATTCCCAGCCCGGCCTGGGATTGGATATTCCAGGGGAATCCAAAATTCCTGCCCAAAATCCCAGCTAAGCCAGCTCATGGAATCCTGGATCCAAAACCCGCCCGGTCCCGCCGGGGCTCCCGCAATTCCCGGAGATCCAGGGGGATCCAGCCCGGCCTGGGACATTCCCAGGGATCCAGGAGCAGCCACGGATCCTCTGGGAATTCCTTCCCACCCTCGTTCCATCCCAAATCCCATCCAGTTTCCCCATTCCCTGTGTCCTGTCCCTCCATCCCTTATCCCAACCCCTCTGGAGCCCCTCCAGGCCCTGGAATGTGCCGGAAGCTCTCCCTGGATCCTTCCCCTTCTCCAGGGGAACATTCCCAGCTCTCCCAGCCCGGCTCCATGTCAATTTCTCCTCCCTAAATCCCCCTGGAAGTGGATCCCAAGGGAATTTCCGTGGATCAACAGCTCCACCAAGCCTGAAAAAAGCGGAGAATCCCATCCCTGGAATTCCGTCCCAGCCCAGCCTGGAGCCCTCGGCTGCCTCCTGCCCCATTCCCACTTTTCCAGTCCCTCCCACGGATCCTCAGGGATTCCCGGCTCTTCCATATCCCTGGGAATGGGATCAATCCCCACGGCTGGCGCCTGGTCCCAGGGTTTTCCCAACTCCGGGAATTCGGGATTCCCGCCCTTGGGGCTGGAAAAAAAAAAACCCTGCAGGCGCTGAAGGGAAAAGTTGGGAAAATCTTTGGGAATCTGCCGTTATCCCAAGGGCCCGGAACTGGATCCCATCCAGTGTGGGATCTTTGGGAATGGCTCCGTCATTCCAGGGAGAGCCCGCCCGGATAATGGGATTGGGCTGATCCCTATCCAGCGGAATTTCCCTTTTCCAATCCCATTTCCACGGATGTCGCCGCGGCCTCGTTCCCGTCATCGCTCCCGACTGAAATCCCGACCCCGAGCAGCCGGAAAAATCCTTTGGAATGAGGGATTTGGGGAAAAATTTGTCATTTTTCCCCTCCCGGAAAGATTTGTGTTTGCATTCCATGGAAACAGAGCCATGATCCCTCCTGCTCCTCCCGCTGAGGAATCCCAGAGAAAACAGGGAATTCCGGAAGGGAATGAAATCATCCAAAGATCCCAGTCAGGATCCCGAATCCCAGAGAAAACAGGGAATTCCGGAAGGGAATGAAATCATCCAAAGATCCCAGTCAGGATCCCGAATCCCAGAGAAAACAGGGAATTCTGGAAGGGAATGAAATCATCCAAAGGCCCCAATCCAGATCCCGAATCCCAGAGAAAACAGGGAATTCTGGAAGGGAATGAAATCATCCAAAGATCCCAGTCAGGATCCCGAATTCCAGAGAAAACAGGGAATTCTGGAAGGGAATGAAATCATCCAAAGGCCTCGGTCAGGATCCCGAATCCCAGAGAAAACAGGGAATTCTGGAAGGGAATGAAATCATCCAAAGGCCTCGGTCAGGATCCCGAATCCCAGAGAAAACAGGGAATTCTGGAAGGGAATGAAATCATCCAAAGGCCTCAATCCAGATCCCAAATCCCAAAGAAAACAGGGAATTTGGGAAAGAAATGAAATCATCCAAAGGCCTCGATCCAGATCCCGAATCCCAGAGAAAACAGGGAATTCCGGAAGGGAATGAAATCATCCAAAGATCCCAGTCAGGATCCCGAATCCCAGAGAAAACAGGGAATTCTGGAAGGGAATGAAATCATCCAAAAGCCCCGATCCAGATCCCGAATCCCAGAGAAAACAGGGAATTCCGGAAGGGAATGAAATCATCCAAAGGCCCCGATCCAGATCCCGAATCCCAGAGCCGTCGCTGCCGCTGATTTATGACCCCGTTCCCATACCCAGCCCGGTCCAGATCCCGAATCCCAGAGAAAACAGGGAATTCTGGAAGGGAATGAAATCATCCAAAGGCCCCGATCCAGATCCCGAATCCCAGAGAAAACAGGGAATTCTGGAAGGGAATGAAATCATCCAAAGGCCCCGATCCAGATCCCGAATCCCAGAGCCGTCGCTGCCGCTGATTTATGACCCCGTTCCCATTCCCAGCCCGGCCCTAAATTCCCTCTCCCCCTTAATGAGAACGGCGGAAGCTGTCAGGAATTATGGATGCATCCAATATCCGAGGACGGCGTTTTCCCGGAGCGCCGGCGGATCCGTGGAATTTACGGAAAACGGGAACAGGACGGAGCAAAGCTGAGGCTGGGAAAATGAAAAGAAGCGGAATTTTTCCTGGATCCGGGAGAACCGCTCGGGAATTGTTGCCGTTGGAATTTAAGGAGCGGCCGGTTCTTCCCGGATGGAATTTGACCCTTCCCAGGCTTTTTTTGAGTGCCCAGGAAGAGCAAATCCATGGAAAAGCTGCTCCTCCTCCAGGGGGCAAATAAATCCCGGGAGCTTCGCACGAGGGAATCCATAAAAATTCCATTGGGAATCACGGGAATGATGGAATCGTGGAAGCCATGGAACGAGACGGTCCCGAAGGCCCCTCCCGACCCAAATCATTCCATGATTCCCCCTAATCCCCTTTGGATCAGTTTTCCACTGGGAATTTGGGCTGGAATCACCCCAATTCCTCCCTGGAAGCGATGGACAGATCCTCTCCTCCTCCTCTGGAAAAAAAGGGCTTGGGAAGTTCGGGAAAAGGCTCAAATTTCCATTTCCACCTCATTTTCCAAAGGAAAAAGGGCCTGGAAGTCCATGGATTTTTTCCCTTAGCCGTGCCTGACTCCAGCAAGGAAAATTCCCTGCAGAAACCCTTTTCCGTGGAAATCCGGGAATGTTCCCCAGTTCTGGCTGGATCCTGAATGCTGAACCATTCCAGGTTTTCCCAGATTTAACAAAGCCCCAAAATCGGGATTTTCCCACCTTTTTTGCACTTTTCATTCCCTAAATTGGGATTTACGGAGAGATCAGATGGAAAAATCCCGTTTATTCCCTTTCCCCGCTCCGGAAAGCCGGAGCCGTGGGGAGATGGGGGGAGCAAACAAATCCCAAATTAATCTTCCAAGGAAATATTCCCGCTGCAGGGGGAACGTTTTCCATCCCTGTCAGCGGGAGATGGAGAGGCCGGCCTGGAAAACGAGGATAATTCCGAGGTTTTGGTTTTTTTTTTTTTTACGGAATGGAGTCGTCGATCTCCGGGATTGACGCTCCGGGGAGGGAACGGCCGCCCCCAAAACCGAGGATCTGCAGAGGCTGAGGATGGATGGGACACAGGGAAAAATAAATCACCGGGATGGATGGGAACGCTCGCCTTCGGATCCTTTGGGATGGAAAAATTCCATGTTTTTAAGGGAAAAAAAAAAAACAAAAAAAAAACGGGATTGAAGAGGTTTTCCTGCTCCTGTTTCATTGCTGAGAGGGGCAGGGAATGATCCAGGGGACTGGGAGAGCTGGGAATGTTCCCCTGGAGAAGGGAAGGATCCAGGGAGAGCTGGGAATGTTCCCCTGGAGAAGGGAAGGATCCAGGGAGAGCTGGGAATGTTCCCCTGGAGAAGGGAAGGATCCAGGGAGAGCTTCCGGCACATTCCAGGGCTGGAAGGAGCTCCTTGGAAATGCCAAAGGTTTCCAGTTCTGGGATAGAAAAGGTTTGGAATTGGATTATTTGGGGAAAAAAAAAAAAAAAAAAAATGGCAACAGCTTGGAAAGACTTGGAGAAGGGAAATTCCAGGGAAATTTTGGAGCCATTTCCAGGGTCTGGAGGGGCTCCAGGAGAGCTGGGGAGGGATTGGGATAAGGGATGGAGGGACAGGAAACAGGGAATGGCTCCCACTGGGAAAAGGGAGATTGGATGGGATTTTGGGAAGGAATTCCTGGCTGGGGATGGAATTCCCGGAGGATCCGTGGCTGCCCCTGGATCCCTGGGAGTGCCCAAGGCCGGGCTGGATCCACCTGGGATAACGGGAATTATCCCACATCCCACAGGGGTGGGATGAGACCGTGAAGATCCTTCCCAACCCCAAGAATTCCCGGATTCTCCGGAATAACAACAGGGGGGGGGAAAAAAATTTTAAAAAATCCCTGGAAAGGGCCGGGAAGGAACGAGCTGCATTCCCTAAAAACCTCTGGAAGTGTTTTTGTGCCTCATTTCCACCCCGAGCACGTCCCCAGCCCCGCGGAGAATCCGTCTGGGGGCGGGGAAGGACACGGAGGCGGGAGAAGGATGGATGAGCTCGGCCGCTCCGGGGCCGCTCCGCGATTAACGCGGGAGCGCGGCGGGAATCTGGGAATGGAAAAGTCCTTGGGAATGTGTGGGATGAGGAGCCAGGGTTGGAGCTCGGGAATTTTGGGAATGGGAAAAGAGAGAATTCCAGGGATGGATGGATGGAGGTGGAGTTTGTGCCCGGCTCCGAACGGAGGGAAAACGAACACAACCTCTCCGGGGGGGATTGGATGGTCCTGGATTTGGGGGGATCCCGGATTCCCAGGCTCCCCGAGCCTCCGGAGCAGCTCCCGCTCGGGGCTGGATCCAGGTGGGACCTTTAACCCCTTCCCGCCCGGATCCGCGATTCCAGGCCGATCCAATCCATTTCTGGATAACGGCAGCCCCATTTCCCGCTGAATTCCCTCCAAATCCTGGCAGGATCCAGCCCAATCCATCTTCCCAGCGCTGAAATTCGGGAGCAGATGGGGAGGACGAGCTGCTCCGGCTCCGCAGGAACAGCTCGTGCTGAGATCCATCAGCATTCCCACTGATTTCCCAATTAACGGCGCCACTCCAGATCCATCAGGGCTCGGCATTCCCGCGGATTTGCCCCCAGCATTCCCAATTAACAGAACCACTCCAGACCCATCAGCATTCCAGGGATTTGTCCCCGGCATTCCCAATTAATGGCGCCACTCCAGATCCATCAGGGCTTGGCATTCCCGCGGATTTCTCCCCAGCGTTCCCAATTAACGGCGCCACTCCAGACCCATCAGCATTCCAGGGATTTGTCCCCGGCATTCCCAATTAATGGCGCCACTCCAGATCCATCAGGGCTCGGCATTCCCGGGGATTTCTCCCCGGCGTTCCCAATTAGCGGCCGGCCGTTAATGGATGAGGCCGCGGGAGGCGGCGCCGATGGACCGGGATGAGATAAATCGGGATTGGCTCTCCAAGCCCCATTCCAGACCTTTTTTCCCCCCATTCCTGCCTTTCCTGCTGCTCATTTGGAAGGAAACGCTCCCAAAAATTTCGGGAACGGCTCCCCCGCCTCGGGATCGCGCCTGAACCATCTGCGAGCCCAAAGTCCAGCCCTGGGAAGTGATCCCAAATTTCCCCCCCGCAGCTGCTGCTTTATCCAAGCCCTTCCAGCCTCTCGGTGCCAGCAGAAAACCGGGAAGAGTTTCAGGAATAAAAGCAGGAACGGTTCCATTCCCGTTGGGATCAAACCCCGGCCCCGGGAAGCGCCGCCCCAGCAATCCCAAAAAACGTTTTCTGGAAAAGGGACGTTTTCTGCTCAAAATGAATCCAAAAAAGTCAAATCCTCACGGTTTGGTCAGGAATAACTCAGGGGAGATCCAAGGCCTGGCAAATCCAGTGGATTTGGGGATTGGGATTTATTGGGAGAGGAATTTGGGATCGGGGTTTATCCTGGCTCCCATTCCCGCTCCGTTTGCCGAGGGCCGGATTTGCTGGGCCAGGATTTGCTCCCAGGGGCTTTTAGTGGATCCCAAATCGGATTCCAGGAGGAAAAATCCGAGCTCGTTCTGCCAGGACGACTCTCCCTGCCCCAACCACCAATCCCAGACGGAATTTGGATCCCAGAGGATTTCCTTCCCACCCTCCAGCCCAGCCAAAGGAGCCCTCAGATCGGGGACGGAGCTGAAAACCCCAAAACTTCACCCCTGACCCTTGCGGGTCTCCCCAGCTGGGAATTCTGGGAATTCTGGGAGTTCTGGGAATTCTGGGAGTTCTGGGAATTCCGGGAATTCTGGGAGTTCTGGGAATTCTGGGAGTTCTGGGAATTCCGGGAATTCTGGGAGTTCTGGGAATTCTGGGAGTTCTGGGAATTCTGGGAATTCCGGGAATTCTGGGAATTAGGCTGTACCTGAGGCAGCAGCAGGGAGCAGACGATGGCCAAGGTGGCCTGGAAGTTGTCCTTGAGCCAGAGCCCCACGGCGTGGATGCAGCCCCGGACGTGGATGGTGCCGAGCAGCTCCAGGCGCTGGAGAGCGGAGACAGGATCCCAAATTCCCGCCGGATTCCCAGGAAACGCGGCCCCCACCCCGGGAGTTTTGGCGAGAAAAACCTCGGATTGGGGTTTTTTGGCCCAAATCACCGCCCCAGGGGAGAGATTTTTGTTCTCACACTTCCAGGGGAAGTTTCGGAGCCGAGGTCCGAACGCTGTTGGGATTAAATCCCAAATTTTGGGGCTCTGAGTGGGATCCTGGACCATCAGATTCCCTCAGGCCTCTCCAAGCTGGGAATTCCCACATTTCCGCTGGGAATTCTGCCAGGAATTCCCACATTTCTGCACTTGGAGGATCCCTGAATGGATCCTGGGCTGGTCCCTCCGCCCTCGAGCTCCAACCTTTTTCCACAGGGAAGGTTTAAGGGAATTCCCAGGTGGGAATCCCCGGGCACCAAAATTCCAGGGAAAAGCCCCAAAACTGAGTTTGGAGCAGCTGCATCCCAGCCTTGCTCGGGAACGGGAATTCCTGCAGGGAGCGCTTGATTTTTGGGATTTGGGGGGAGAAGGAGCAGGCAATTCCCAAAAATTCCCAAAAAATTCCCACGTCACCTCCTTGTCCAGGGCGCGGTACCCGCACAGGGTGTTCACCACTCCTCCGGGAGCCTGCGGAGAAAGGGAACGGATTTATCCTGGGAAAGGCGCCGGAAAACACCAGAAATCCAAACAAAACCGGGAATTCCAGCGGTGCCCGGGACGATCGGGGCCCCCCCTGACTTTGGGGTCTTGAGGGCAAATCCCAACCCAAACCATTCCAGGATTCCGGAGCCCCTCTGGAGCCGGGCTGGGAGAGCTGGGAATGTTCCCCTGGAGAAGGGGAAGGATCCAGGGGGAGCTTCCGGCACATTCCAGGGGCTCCAGAGGGGTTGGGATAAGGGATGGAGGGACAGGACACAGGGAATGGGGAAACTGGATGGGATTTGGGATGGAACGAGGGTGGGAAGGAATTCCCAGAGGATCCGTGGCTGCTCCTGGATTCCCGGGAATGTCCCAGGCCGGGCTGGATCCCCCTGGAATTGTCCCTGTGGGTGGCCCTGGATGGGATTTACGGTCAGGAAATTCCCAGGATTTGGCTTTCCCAATTCTTTTCCCGGAATTCTGGGGCTGTGCAGGGATGATTCCTTCACGAACGAGGCCAAATCCATCTCAAGGAAATTCCGGAGGTGAGGTCTCACTTCCCAAAAAAACTCTGGCATCAGCTGGGAGCTTTCCCTCTTGGAAAAAACACGGAGATTCCATGGATTCAATGGATTTTCCCCCTCCAGACCCAGCTCGGGGAATCCTGGAATGGTTTGGGTGGGAAGGAGCCTCCAATCCCATCCCACATCGGGGACACTCCCCAAAATCCCAGGCTTTGAGCATTCCCAAAAAAACGTTTCCCGGATTCTCCCCCTCTGGATTAAGGGGATTTTTCCCTCTCCCTGCTGAGGTTTTTTTGCCAAATTGTCCCCCCAAAAAAAAAATCAAACACGGGAATGTAAAAATTCCCAAGAAACGCCCTGGGCTCCGCATCCTCACGGCAGGAATTCCTCCTTCCATCCCCAGGAGCCTCGGGATTAATCAAGGCCCTGATTAGAGAGGATCTCAAATCTGCATCTCATTTGCATACCGGGCTAATTAAACCCCTTCACATTTCCCTCTTTTTCCATTAAAATCCCCCGGAACAATGCGGGATTGATGAGGAATTTTCCTTGCAAGGGCCAGGGCTCGGATCCGGCACCGATATTCCGGGAGATCCGGCAGAGCCGGTTCTGGAGTTTTCCAGCCTTGTTGGGATATTTGGAGTTTTCCCCGGATCCTGAGGTTTTATCCTCGGATGGAGGAATTCCGTCGGATTAAACGATCCGGGCTCGGAGAAAATCCCGGCTTGGTTTGGATTCCCAAACGCGGGAAGCTCCTGGCTCTGGAATTCTGCTCCCTCCGGAGCCCGGCTGGAACTCCAGCTTTTCCTGATCCCAGGGATCCAGAACCCTCCTGGCAGAAAATTCCTCAAAAATCGCCTCATTCCCCAAAAAATCTCCTCGGTGGGAGGCGGGAGCAGGAACGGGATCCCAAAAACTCCCAAATCCCTCCGGGAATGGGACTGGGGAGGATCCAGGCTGGGATGGAGCCGAGCCAGATCCCAAAATCCCGGAATGGAATTTTTTTTTTCCCCCCCCCAAATAATCCAATTCCAAACATTTTCTATCCCACAATTGGAAACCTTCGGCATTTCCAGCAATTCCTTCATTATCCCAGGATTCGGCGTCCCAGAAAATTCCAGACTAATCCATAAATATTCCTATTCCTTCGCCTTCATCCTTTCCTGCCAAAATTCCCATCAAACCTTTCTCCAGGGGGGAATGATTAAGTGGAAAACCTTTGGAGTAGAAAAAACAGTGGGAAGGGGGAAATTCCTGGGAATCTTGATGTTTTCCATAAATAAATATTCCCATTTCTCCTCTTCCGCCAAAATTCCCTCAAACCCGAATCCTTCTGGCATGGGAAAAATGGTGGGAAGGGGCAAATTCCCGGGAATTTTGGTGTTTTCCATAAATAAATATTCGTATTTCTCCTCTCCCACCAAAATTTCCTCAAACCCGAATCCCTCTGGCATGGAAAAATGGCGGGAAGAGGGAAATTCCCGGGAATTTTGGCGTTTTCCATAAATAAATATTCCTATTTCTCCTCTTCCACCAAAATTTCCTCAAACCCAAATTCCTCTGGCATGGAAAAATTGGCAGGAAGGGGCAAATTCCCGGGAATTTTGGCGTTTTCCATAAATAAATATTCCTATTTCAGGTCTCCCGCCAAAATTCCCTCAAACCTTTTTCCAGGTGGGAATGCTGGAAACCCGAATCCCTCTGGCATGGAAAAACCGGCGGGAAGAGGGAAATTCCTGGAAATTTGGTGTTTTCCATAAATAAATATTCCTATTTCTCCTCTCCCGCCGAAATTCCCTCCAATCTTTTTCCAGGTGGGAATGCTGCAAACCCGAATCCCTCTGGCATGGGAAAAATGGTGGGAAGAGGGAAATTCCTGGGAATTTTGGCGTTTTCCATAAATAAATATTCCTATTTCTCCTCTCTTGCCAAAATTCCCTCCAATCTTTTTCCAGGTGGGAATGTTTCAAACCCGAATCCCTCTGGCATGGAAAAATCGGCAGGAAGGGGCAAATTCCTGGGAATTTTGGCGTTTTCCATAAATAAATATTCCTGTTTCTCCTCTCCCACCAAAATTCCCTCAAACCCGAATCCCTCTGGCATGGGAAAACCGGCGGGAAGGGGGGAAATTCCCGGGAATGCGGCTCACCGCGCGGACGCAGCAGGAATGCGGCACCCCGCAGGCCAGGGCGCCGCTGCCGTTGCACCAGTGGTAGCGGTTCACTTCCCAATCCCGGAATTCGTCCCCTCCGCAGCAGGAAAACTGCGGGAAAAACACCGGGAGAGGCTGAGGGGGGGGAGCTGGATAATCCCTGGAATTGCAGGGGAAAAAAAAAACGGGAAGGGATTCCCGCTCCAAAGGGATTTGGGGAGAAATTCCTCCCTGGGAGGGCGGGGAAGGGAAGGGATGGAATTCCCAGGGAATTCTCCAGCCCTGGAGCACCTGGAAAAAGCCTTAAAAATCCTGGGAAAGGGGTTTGGAATCGGCTCGCTGGCCATGGATTCCCATGGATACAGGGATAACGGGAGAGAATTCACTGGGATAAGGGGAAGGAATTCCTCCCTGTGAGGTGGGGAAGGGCTGGGACGGAATTCCCAGAAAAACCGGAGCCTTTGGAAGTGTCCAAGGCCAGGCTGGAACAAGCTGGGATAGGGGAAGGGGTCCCGGCCCTGGAATTTTTCCTGGAAATTCCACTGGAAATTCCTGGAAAACCAGGAATTTTCCCATCCCAAACCACTCCAAAATTCCAACCCAATCCCCATTCCCACTTCCCAGTTTTTCCCCTCGCCCAGGGAAGCTGAAGGGTAAAAAAAAAGTGGGAATTTTTTCCCATTTATCCCCATTTGGGAGGGATTCGGATCCATCCGTGGGATCAGCCTCATCCACACTCCCACGGTTTAATTCCAGGTGACAAATCCAGCTTTTCCCGAGGGACGGATTTGGGGGCTCTCAGCCATTCCCACAAAATCCTGATGGGGATTTCTCTTCCCGTCAGGAGAAATTGGGATCAAATCCTGCAGCTACAAAGGGAGAAAAAATTCAAACAAAAATCTCTTTTTTTTTTTTTTTCCCCTTCTTTTCCCGCAGCGAGGATCAAAAAAATTCCAATCAAAGTCACTCCGTGTCATCCACGGAATAAAAAATGAGCCTCCGGAAGCAGCTCGTCCCTCCTCACGGAAAACAATCGGGATTTGGAAAATCCTGGAATGGAAATGTTGGAGTGCTTGGAAAAGCAGGGGAAAAAATGGATTTTCCCCATTTTTTAAGCATTATTTTGGGATTTTGGGATTTTGGGAGGGGTTTTTTTTTTCCCTCTGCTCCCCTTTTCTGAGGAAAAGCGGGAAAAAATTCTCGGGATCTTCCTGTTCTGCTCCATCCCAGGCCCGGATTTACAATCCCTGGATTCCCACTTGGAATTCCGGGATTTCTTTTGGTCCCTCCCGGGCCGGAGGAGGGCGAGAAGATCCCAAAAATCCTCA